TGTGTGTGTGTGTGTGTGTGTGTGTGTGTGTGTGTGTGTGTGTGTGTGTGTTTCTGGAAGGTGTGGGGAAGGGGAGAAGTAAATGTTTTTTTGTGTGTGTATGTACATGTTTGAGGTGCTGCATATGTCTCTGGAGTTTTGAGATTGTACAATCAATATATTTCTTTCAATAGCGAAAGGACGAGTAAAGTGAAGCATCATTCTCCAATTTTATGGTTCTGAATGTGGAAAAATACAACAGAGCTATCATTGTTTCTTTATGCGCTAAAAACAGATCGCAACAAATGTTTCATACTGTCCCCATGCCACCCCACCCCATCTCCTTTTCTCACTCTTTGCCGTTTCTCTTCATTTCAGACGTTTGTGGTCCTCAACAAAGACAAGGCCATCTTCCGATTTAGCGCCACCGACGCCATCTTTCTCCTGTCGCCCTTCAACCCTATTCGCCGTATCGCCATTTACATCCTAGTTCATCCATATCCTTTTTTTTCCAAACAAGATTTACTCTGCACATTTCTTTCTCCCTAAGGTGTACCTCTACAGTCCTCTGGCAGACCGCTTATTGAGTATCGAGTTTTTCACCTGATAATTATCTCTATTGTCTTTGAAAAGAGTACAAGAGTTTTGCATTATCGACTTTTATAAGTGTTTATGATTATAATATTTCACATGGCAACACGTTTTAAATTCCTTTTTTTTTTTTTTTTTTTTGACGGGCTGCTTTGATTTTAAGATTTAGTTGACTAGCGTGAGGTTATCTCACCAAGCTAGGAGACACTGGACGCAATATCTTCCCCACGAAGGAATCCACCCCTGGTCTTTTGCCTGCAGGGCAAAATTCTTAACGTTTTGTATCCCGGACGCCAGTTTCTGTCGCTGTGTCAGAGTTCGGGGTAGTTTTTACTTCCTCTGGTATGCAGTGGTCAGTGATAATATGCAGTGGTCAATGACACAAGGAAAAGAAACTGCCATGGGGAATCTTAAAGTCTATGTAGTCGTCTAAGTGTATTCAGAAGAAATACCTTTTATTTTCCTCTGCAACTAAAACCTGAAGTGGTTCTTCTATGTTACCCATCCATCCCTTACCCC